ACTACTACTGGATTTTCGGCTGCATGCACCACAAAGTCTGGGGTAAGAGTGTTCGCTGTGGGAAAATTCAACTACTTGGGCTTTTGCCTTCTTTTAATTGAAGAGGAGAAATGGTAGGAGGCAGAGGACGTGTGCTGGAAGAGGGACAGACCCTGCTTCTTCCACCTATTACAGGATACATGCGTATCTCACCAATTTATGCAAAGTAATTAAAATTTTATTCAGTAAGCTTTTCATTTACAGCATTTATATTATAAACAAAGTCTTTGAATTTAAAAGGGGGAAAGAGCTAAAAGGGAGTGTTCCCAGTTGGCACGCTAGGGCCATCTCACGTCGTGTCATGTGCTAACGAAACGATGGAAACGTGAAATGAGATATTTTATAAAAGGCAAATTCACTGAGGGGAAAAAAAAACATCACTTAAAGCAAACAACCCCCCCCCCACCCCTTTTTTTTTTTTTTTAAAGAGATTTTTGGAAGGAACAGAGGTGGAGAGACAGCAGACACTAGAAAGGGCGTTTTCCTCCCTAAAGCTCAAACACCTAGAAAACCCATCCTCCCTAATGAATACTAACAATCTCTACGTATTTGTAAGCAACAATATGTACTTTCTTGTACACTTCAGTATAACGTGAAGAGACTGAGTAGCTATTTGAGTACATTGGTGAACACTCATTGAACCTGCTGCTCTCCTACGAACTGCTGCCAAGGGCCACTGCACTCGCTGCCGCTTTTTTTTTTTTAAGGAATAAATTTTAATCTATGCCAATACAATGGAGAAACACCGTGCTGTTTTTCAGCAATCTGACTTCATCATTAAGCCGCATGAAAATTATATTCTTCATGAACCAGTATGTTTTTGTCTCTCTTCTTTGAGGCAGAGCATGCCGCTACGAATGATGTAACACAACCGCCTCCTTTAAAAATTATATCTGTGCTGAGATCTTTCTACATCTAACACAGTATACCTAGCACTTCATAAGATTACATTTAAATGTCCACTCAAATCCCACATATACGCCTCTACAAAACAGTTTTAGGTGCTATACATTTCAAACAGACAAGTAACAAGACCTTCACAAAGGGAACTAGGGACAACACTGAAAAGATAAATTCATTAAATAAATGTGTGCTCCATTACCACAACCAGATTGTATTCACTGTGGCTTAGATGTTTCCTCATTTTTCCACCCAAAGATGGAATTCTCTCAATCTCTTCTCCGGTCACCCGTTCCAGGCCATACCTAGAGACAGGACACTAGCCAAGAAGGACAGTCAGTGATCCCATACAGCTATTCTTGTCACCCATTGTTACTACCATGTAACATAAACATTCTAAACGTATGATCGCCACTGACTTGAATTCTTCAATTTTTAATTCTCCTGCCCCAGTACGACAGAACCATGTTCAAGGCAATGGCCAACAGCTGCCTCACTACAGTCTCACCAGAATTTTACCCTTTATTTCTAAATCTCTGCTTTAAACTGAAATTTAATAACCTTTCCTTATTTTTATGGAGAAGGGGAGGGAAAAAGAAGAAAAAAATCTTGAGAAAATGTTCAAAAAGATTAATCCAGGACATGCGACAGTCTTGTGCTATTCACTAGCATAAATACACACCTACACACACACCCCACCCGCAAGCTGCCATGCAATGTAGTTCTTGACCATCTTGCACATCAATACAGGACACTGACAACAACAGCTACTTATCAAAAGGTAGCCTTCTAATACAGGCAGACTTAATTACCCTAAATTCAGAGGTACTTTAGAACAATCTGTCAAAATGAGAGTTACTATAACCAGGACTTAAACCAAAGTCCTCCTGTTGTTAGCACTCGTTCAGTTTGTATGTCTGAAAAATGAAGATCTACCGTAAATAATTTGTTAATTGCAGAAGATATTTTCAAAAACTGAATACTTGTGATATAATCAACATTAGCAAATACCTTTGCAAAGTCCCTAATATAGACTGCTATACCTTTTTGCTTTTACATCACATACTAAGTTTAGGCTTTTCAATTTTAGAACAATTTAGACTTGTTCTCAAGAACAAGTATGCCTTTGAAAAAATCTTTTTATAGTCCCTAAAGGAGGGAAAGGAAATTAGTTAGCTCACTACCTCTTTGAAAAATGTAGCTGCTACAATAAATATTTGACACCACAGTATGAAAATTCATGTAAATTTATGTCCACAATTCCAGAAATATCATTAAGTAACACCTATGTAAAATACGGTCTTGTATGGTAGGATGACTTTATTGACACTCTTGGCATGACTGAATTTCTTAGAGCTGGAGAAGCCACCAGTAAGTTCATGCCAAAGAACTGAACTAAAGCTCACTCATACAGCATGCCTACAGCACACCTCTTTTGCTGGAGTTCTGTCTTGTAAACTTTTAGGTGTGCTTTCAGACATGTTAGAGATTTTATTTTCCATTCCTCAGTTTGTAAGTCAGGTGTCTTCATTATCATTACGCCACTCAAAAACAACTCTACCTTCTGACTTGCACTATCCCCAAATGGTAACCCTGGTAAAATCTAGTATTTTCTGTCTTCTAACTATATAAATCTATGTGCACATTTCATGAGGATAGAGGGATGCATCTCTGCAAATACACTGCTTCTAAAAATAATCTGATATAACCACTTGAGATTGAGTCTTAATCATGCTCATCTCTGGCTCAGCATAACTTTAGGCCGAAAAGAGGAATCTTCAGTGTTGGGCAATGCAGCATACCCAAACTGTTTTGCAGCAGATAAACGTTCTTTTTTAAACACGCTTTTTTGAGATTTCTCTATCATTTGGAACACAAAGTACTCCCTCCCAATAAGCTGAGGGCAAATGGGACAGTGACCGAAACATCACAGCAGAACCACATGCTACCCCCCCACATGTATTTGTCGCCTCAGCAGTAATGTACATGCATGGTGAATGCATTTTATTTTATGTTTCATTGCAGGCTGCACTACTTTAATTGGCATGACTGTCTTCTGGTCCTACTTTACCTCCTAATCAACTCACAATAACTACTTAACTGCAAACCAAGAACTCCAAGAAATTCTATGAAAGACACAAGTTGTTCTTTGGCCAAACTGTAATTTGATTTATCTTCCTCTCTACAACAATATACCTGAGTGGTCTTCCAAAAGCATATACATGATCTATAAATTGTGATTTACAAAGAGCTTCCAGAATTTTGATAGTTTTAAAGTATGGACAGTGCAAACATCACAACAGTCCCCTCTATCTTCCCA